GCGAATAATGGGAGATGGAAACGCATTTTGCGAAAAAATTCCTCCAAGCGCATCAAAAAAGTCATGTGACTTTGTGCTATGGGACGGCAAAACCTGACTAACCAGCGGACCGATCTCATTCCACAGCTTCTGAAATGTTGTTATGGTCATTCGGAAATGCACGAGCGAAGTCTGTCGTCAAAGTATTTCTGTGTAATTGCCTCCCAGAAATGTCTTACACGACTGCGTTCCCAAACAGCAGCATCCACCTCCGACCGCATTCATTGTTTCGTCTGCTCTAGTAATTTATTACATATGAAAATTATTATATTCTCCTACTTTTTTTTAGTGATTTATAGTGCCAGTTTATCAGGAAGTGACGATTTTGTTCTCTTTGACTCATTGGATGGAAACGATGCTTCTTCGCAAATGTTTTATGCGATATTCCAGTTTTGCGCATAAGTTAAATTTGCAACTTTGGATGGAAACCTGGCTATAGATAGTTTGTTTCTGGTGTAGAACCTTGTTTATCTTAATTTAATGCTGAAATACAAAATTAGGCTTCATTTTAGGCTTCATTTTATAGAAAATACTATATGCTTTAATGTCTCTTTTATTTTGCATATTTAAAAAAATTGTGTATAAATGCATATATAAATATTTATACTGTTATTTTTATAATTTTTTTAATTTACATATATAATATAGTAGTATTTTTATATATTTATATATAGATAATATTTTATACATTTTAATATATAAAAATGTACATTCTCTCTCTCTATATATTATTTCTTTAATATTTATTTTACATATAATGAATATATATTAATAATGAGTATGTTTTTACTGTTATTTCCTATTAGTCTTTTGTTAGATGGAAAGGTTTTTTCTTTGAATCCCGGGGCGTGATTTGTTCTTGATGACATGAGCTCGTGGTCTTTCTCTCTCTGCAGGTTGGTGATGGTGGACGTGGCGTTTTACTCGGAGAACGTGCAGGCTCTGCGCTCTCTGGAGCATCTGGACTTAAACATGCCGGAGATCTGGGAGCAGAAGAGGTGATGACGGACAGTTCGTCCCGGCCAATCAGGCCTCTCCGTCACGCCTGCCATCACGGTGACCAGCTCTGAGGTCAGTGGATGAACCGACTCGGGACTCCAGGTCTCGTTTGTTTGAATACCTCTGTGACACTGGAGTGATCCAGCAGCGCTCCTTCCCCAATCACTGAGAGACTCCTGTGCTAACAGGACGGGTTTGGGGGGACCCACAGATTTCTCACGGAGACCAAATCAGGACAAGCTGGAGTGGTTGATCAGTCGCGCTGGGAATTGTGGGGAATATGTTGTTTTGTTGTCGTAAAGCGGAGGCTCGTCCTCAGTGCCTCCTTCACTACAGTGCAACTCTCCATTCGTGTGCAATTCTGTCTGATTATTGTTGTTATTATTATTGCTGAATTATTTAATCACAGAGGAATCAAGGAATTATTTATTTTAATCGATTTTGATGATGCTTGATCAATCATGTTTTGTTTTGTTTCACATAAAGCTTTCAGGTGATTACGGCCGGATGGAGAACTAATGCTAAAAAGGGTTTTAAACACATTTTGCTGATTTGTTCTCTGATTTTCCACCAACATGAATATGATTTTAATGGCTGCTTTTGGTTTTCATGTTCAGGGTCGCTGAGTCGAAGTATTAAAACTCTGGAGGGTTAAATGATTCTAGTCCATGTTTATCGGGAGAATCTGACTATTTAAATAAAGTCTGCTTTATATGGTCTGCATGGAGAAGATCTGCTGCACTCATCTTCAAACTCAACAAAATCAGATAAAGACTTTTACAGTAATCAGGTTTAGATTAGCGCTGTCAAACGATTAATCGCATCCAAAATAAAAGTTTGTTTACATAATGTATGTGTGTACTGTGCATATTTATTATGTATATATAAATACACACACATTCATGTATATATTTAAGAAAAATGTTATTTTTATATATTAAATATATGTATATATAATATAAATTATATGAACATTAATATATGCATGTAAATATTTTCAAAATATATACTGTGTGTGTATTTATGTATACATAATAAATATGCACAGTACACACACATACATTATGTAAAAAAAAACTTTTATTTTGGATGCGATTAATCGTGATTAATCATTTGACAGCACTAGTTTAGATACAAAAATGTAATTTAAGTCAGAGGAGAAATGAAGAAGAGAAACCTTCTGCGTTCATGCAAAGATTCAGCCAAGTCTTAAAATGCAAGAACTCATCGTGATAACTTCTTGTCCATGCAAACTAGAGCATTAACTCGATTTCTCCAGCATCCACAGTATTGCTGTAACCCCGCCTCCTCTGAATGAATCGAGGTCTGTGATTGGTTGGTGTAAATGGAGACTGTTTTTAAATCACATATTGTTTTACTGTGAGCTTCTGTCATTGACGGTGTGTTTCTGTTCAGGATGATCCATGTATCGCTTTATTTAACACTCGTTCTGTCCGGTTCAAAAGTGCCTAACCTTTTATTTGGTATCAAAAACTTCTGACTCAAACTGTACATTTGTGGGCTACAGTGCCTAATCTGTGTGTGTGTGTGTGTGTGTGTGTGTGTGTAGACGTGTGTGTGTCTGTGTCTGTGTCTGTGTGTGTGTGTCTGTGTGTCTGTGTGTGAGAGAGTGTGTTTTGAGGGCCCTCGTTCCGGAAAAGAAATATACTGATGGGAAACTTTTGTGGCATGCTTGACCTTTTAAAATGTGGCACTTTTTATTATTAATAAAGCCACAATGAACAAAAATAGTGTTGGTTTTTGCGTATTACTTGTAGGCTGTTTTCAAATCTAGCTACCTAGCTAGTCCTTCATGACATCTTTGGGCACCACAAAGGAGCATAGGAAGAGTTCATTTGCAAAAACAGATAACTCCGTTTTTAAAAGTGTTCAAGAATTATGTTTTTTTTTATTTTTATCCTGCATTCCAATTAATATCAATCAAACAGCAGTTGGGTTGTTTTGATTAAATAGTAATAACTAAAAAAATACAGCTAACTAACACAATAAAAGCATGATAACGCAATAAAAAAAAAAAAGAAAATGAATAAAAACAGAGTTATCTGTTTTTGCAAATAAACTCTTCATGTAAACAGAAGTCATATTAGTCTTAAAATTAGTTTGCGATTTTAATCAGTACCGCTAAGCCTATTCTTTATTATTTATTCATATTAATTAATTGGTTATTTATTTATGATTACACTACACACGCGCACACAAACATTGTTTGGTATTCAGAAAATACTTTTATTTTTAACATTTCATCCTAAACGTTTTTGGAGACTTTTATTCTATATCGTGTCCTACATCTTTCTGTTTCCGGTTGCGATCAGGCCGTAGAAATGGCTCAAGGCAAACAGAAATTTAAAGCGCAGCGACCCGGAGGAGCTAAAAAGCAACAACACAAACCGAAAGGACTCAAGAAAGGAGGTAAAGAAATAGTTGTGTTCTTGAACAGACGAGTATTCTGAACGTAAAACCGCGTTAAATCGATATTTCTTATGAGCAGCAGAGCGAACGCATTTGAGCCTGTCTAGATGCGCATGCGCAGTTGAGTTTGTATCTTCAAATCCTCTATTCCAGGAAGGATCATCGCACCCAAAAAAGCTCAAGTGGTCCAGCAGCAGAAGCTGAAGAAGGTAAACGTTCAGCTCGCTTTTAAAACCAGTCCGTGTCAGATAATAGCGGTTTGATTGGTGTGTTTGTGTTTTTGGTGCAGGGTTTGGAGGTGGCCATCAGGAACAGGATTGAACAGGAAGTCACACAGAAGGCCAGCACGTCCCTTCACAAGAAACTGAGTGTGCTGAAGACTCCAGCGGGGAAAAGCTCCACAGCTGGACCTTCAAAACCAGCTGCTGGACCGTCCAAGTCCAACTGATGACAGGCAAACACTGTGATCCGCTGTACAGCCGCTAGATGGCGCCACCATATTAAAAAACTGATGTTTGCCACTTTCTGTGGAGTAACAGTGAAAGGTTTGTTCATTTTTGGAAAAAGGAAACATGGTGTGGAATCTTACATATGTACAACAGGCCATGATCTTTTAGACTGTGCTTATTTTTATATAATAAAATGAGAAAGTGTTGTTAGGTTTCATAATACTTTCATTTGAACACATTTTTGTCATGGGAAAGCACCACTCTTTTTTTTTTTTATCTAGTAAATGTAATGATTATATTATAATTATTTGTGACCCTGGACCACAAAACCAGGCATAAGGGTCAATTTTTTAAAATTTATCATCTGAAAGCTGACTAAATAAGCTTTCCATTGATGTATGGTTTGTTAGGATAGGACAATATTTGGCCGAGATTTGAAAATCTGGAAGCTGAGGGTACAAAAAAAATCAAAATATTGAGAAAATCACCTTTAAAGTTGTCCAAATTAAGTTCTTAGCATTGCATATTACTAATCAAAAATTAAGTTTTGATATATTTACGGTAGGAAATTTACAAAATATTTTCAAGGAACATTATCTTTATTTAATATTCTAATGATTTTTGGCATTAAAGAAAAATCAATAATTTTACACATTTTAAACCCAATGCTGGCTATTGCTACAAATATTCCTGTGCTACTTAAGACTGCTTTTGTGCTCCAGGGTCACATATAACTTTTTCCACTGTTAAGCAGCCGCACTCATTTTCTTTCTTAGACTGCGAGTGTAAAATCCCTGAAGGTTTTCCTGCGGTCAAGGACGTGCTGCTCGTTCTGTGATTGGCTGAACGCTTTATTTTCTTTGTTCAGCCTCGATTGTCTGGCAACCTTGAGCTTCCAGATCTCTGATTGGCTCTCAGTGTGTGATTGACAGCAAAACACTTCCATTTTGACCCAAATAACTTTATTATATTCAAAGACATAAAGGCAAAGTGAGCAATTATAGATGTTTAAAATGTCCAAAGAGTCTATGTCCTACTAAACTATATTCTACCTGACTGTGGCTCATGCGTCTCTGCAGATTAACTGCAGATCTGGTCTAGACCTCAGATACGCAGGGTTTGCCAGCACAGCGTGTCTCACAGGACTTTGAGAGGCTGCTGGCTGTAAGAGGAGCGCAGGTAACGTGGGAACGAGTCTTTAGCCATCAGGGAGAAGATCCGTTGCTGAGCCTCGCCAAACGTGTCCGCTGTGGGATCCTCCATCAGCCCCGTCAACGCCTCGCGGGTCTCACTGTCCAGATTCACCTGAGAAACACATCATATGAGAGTGGAAACTGTCCAGAACATGCCTGAGATGCATTTCACTTTAAAACCAGGAGAAAGAAACAAGAAATCACATTTTAGAAAAAGAAAATGAAGCCTATTTTTAGGTCCGTAAAGATGTTTTGCATTACAACAATATTTTTTATGACTGTTCAACACATTTCTCTCGAACATTTTCATAGGTATAATGCAAAAATAGATATATTATTTGAAGAAAATAATTAAATATATAAATACATTATTATACAGATTTTTTGTAATATTATTTTTATTACATTTTCTTGAAACACAAGACTGACACATGTACATACCATGTCTATAACAATACTATGTACAGAAAAGAAACAAACAAACACTAGGGGCTCATATTACATAAAAAGTGTAAAGCACAAAACCAACAAAGGGTTAATACAGTCTGTACTTTGGAAGTTAGATTTAATAATCCATTGCAAACAATAAAAACCGCAGTTGTAAGGGGTTAATATAATGCACATTAAAATGTATTTAAATAACCAATCAAGAATTTTGATCCTCTATTATATTGTTAATATCCCTACATTCAATAAATAATAAAAATGGACTCCAGATTTTCTTAAATTTAGCTTGTTTACCCTTAAGCATATAGGTTGTCTTTTCCATTGCAATGCATGAAGATATTTCCCTTAACCAATGAGTTATGGTAGGCCTTTCTGTCTTTTTCCAATAAATGGCAATGAGCCTTTTGTACGGTGGCCGAGAAGTGCAAAGCAAATCACAATTCTGAAAACAAAATAACAAATTACAAACGCAAATGCAAGTCTAAAAAACAAAATAACAATTCAGAAAGCACAACAACAATTCAGAAAACATTATAACAAGTCAGAAAACACAATGACAAATTACTTTATTTTCAACTTTTTGATTATTTCCTTAATTTTTATTGAAAATAAATGCCTTTACGATGTGATACGAGATTTGAAAAGGGAGGGGAAAAAAGTTTGGCAAAAGACGGGATCGAACCCGGGTCGATCGCGTCAAAAAGCAAAGGGCACACACTTATCCATCTGCGCCACTGGAGCTGATGATTTACAGCCACTTTTAACTAAATGTAAATAGACACCCCGTATTTTTTATTCCAGAGTAAGGGCAATTCATACAATACATTTAAACTGAGCTACTTTAATACCATCTCCGAACTTTCTACCACGACTCTGCTGTTCTTCCTGTATACGTTGATTGACAGATGTCTCGTCCAGTCAGCCGTGAGTAATCCCAAACCAATGGCGCTGTCTCAAACTATACCTACCTCTTCCGGTTTGTCTGATTTGTCGTTGTGTTTTCTGACTTGTTATCTTGTTTTCGAATTTGTCATTGTGTTTTCTGACTTGTTATAATGTTTTCTGAATTGTTGGTGTGCTTTCTGAATTGTTATTTTGTTTTTTAGACTTGCATTTGCGTTTGTAATTTGTTATTTTGTTTTCAGAATTGTGATTTGCTTTGCACTTCTCGGCCACCGTACTTTTGCCATGTAAAATGCACATATCTATCAATACTTGATTATCCTTTTTAATATTCCAATTTTCTGGATGATATTATACAGATTTATATAAAGTAAATTTATTTTGTATTATATTTTAGTAATTTTTAGAATAATACAGTACAATCTATATACTTAAAATCAAAATAATTATACAAAAGCATATTATGTAAATGTAATTCAACTTTAATAAATTAAAACAAATATTAATTTGCTTATAACAGAGTTAATTTAAATTGAATTAAAATGTTGTTAATTTAATTTATTTCAAATATATATATTTTTTTTTTTTTGCTGCCGCTAATGATAATATTATCACAAACAATGCGAAAATTATACTTTTACTTAATTTAATTTACTTGAATTCAATAGGCTTTTTTTTTTTTAATTCGCCCTGCTCAAAACTGCCTGCGTTCGTCCCTCACCTCCCGAGGAGCATCAGGGTTGATGAACAGGTTGTAGATGTTGTGGGACCCGGATGCGCTCTTGTACTCTTCACACGCCAGCCAGAGCTCCAGGTTCTCCTCGCTGAGCTCCGAGCGCAGGAAGCAGCGCAGAGGAGTTCCGTTTAGAGAAGAGAAGTGAGCTCGTGGAGTCAAATCATTAGGAAAGTCCTCTCACGCTTGCTGTTGAGCAGAGACTCCAGGTCCTGAGGCAGCTTCTGAAGAAAACAGTAGATGCGTTTTATTACTCAGTTCAGCTTGTTTATGTCTTGAACAATACGTAGGGTGCTGTACAAGTTAAACTTAATCGATAGCATTTGTGGCATAATATTGATTACCACAAAATATATAACTTTGACGCGCTCCTATTCTAGGTTACGGTGAGGCACTTAGTTACAACGGAAAGCAGAAATATAAGCTTATAATTTTATTTTTTAAAAATTACACAATTAACAGTTTAACTGTGTATTATTCAGCCGTAAATTTCTCGTTAGACTTAACGGTCGTTTTAGGGTTTACCGCGTTGTCATGGCAACAAAGCTTTAAAACTGGATGTAACTATACGAAAAAAGGTTAGTGTGCGATTTTTTACACCAGGGTTAACACGCATATTGTTTACATTTTGTGGCTTATTGGAAAAAGTATTTTAACGTTTTGGTCCCATTCACTTTGAGGGTCTCACGGTAAAGATTCAAACCATCAAGATTAAGTAATATTTCTGTGAGAATAAGACTCTACACCGGACTCAACGGTTGTCGTGTCGCGCCCAGTGTTGCCAATTTAGCAACTTTTCAGACTACCCTAGCAACTTTTTCTTCCAAAAGCACCTAGCAACAAATTTAGCTATTTTAAAATTTTATTTGGCTACTTTTAGCAACTTTTGATAAGTGACTCAAACAATAAAAAGGCACACATTTTCCATCTAAATTTCACAAAAAGAGGAAACCAAAGATGCCTATAAGTACACACATCACATGAATGAAGTTATTGCTATTTGCAATTGTTCAATTTGATAATAACAATAATTTAATAATTGTTCATTTATGATACACCTTGTTAGTAGCTTGTACATGTGATTGTTGATCAGTTAGTACACTGTAAGAAAAATATCTAGAAAAATGGCAAAGGTACTAGTTATTTTCCAGGACATTATCCGTTATCCATTATCCATTGTAAACCCTTTAACCCGAAACACAAAATACAATGCGTAATTTAAAATGCAGGTAAAAACCTGTGAAAAATCAATATGGAAAATTCCTTCATATTAACATTATGCCCTATTTTTACAGACTCTTCTTAGAGTGTAGCATACTAACTAACTGCTAATACACTGCTTAAAAGTACAATTGTTCAGAATGTATAGTTTTACTAGTTTACTAGCTAATAAAAACAACTTAAATTGTTGAAAAATGTGTAAGTGCTCAATAATTCAATGTTTTTAAAAATACAGTTATTTATATTTTAATATTATATTATGCATTTATATCATTTTACGAACAAATATAAATGAACATATATAAAATATATTTTTGCTGAGATTTGATGCATTGACAATTTTGCGTATCGTTCAAAAGTGTTCAATGTTGTATATAAAAAGTTATTTGTATTTTAACATTATATTATGCATTTATATTATGTTACAAGCAAATCTAAATTAACATATAAAATATATTTTTGCTGAGATTTGATGTAGTGACAATTTTGTGTCGTGATTACGTAATGACGTCATCGCGCAATGACATCACAACGTCATTTAGCAACTTTTAGCAACAAATCAACCTTCCCGAGGGGGGCCCCGCTCCCTACCTCGCACCGGGCCCCGCGTCAGCTAAGGACGGCCCTGCCTGTGAGAATAATATGAACGCGGATAGGCTGTTTACGTATGTGATACTCTCCAAAATGGCGCTATAGGGTGACGCAGAGGAGATGAATTGTTGAATAAAGTTGTTATTTTTGTTTTCTTTGCGCACAAAAAGATTTCTTGTAACTTCGTGAAATTACGGTTGAACCCCTGATGTCACGTGGATTATTTTAACGATCTCCTTGCTACGTTTCTGGACGTTGATCGTGTTAATTACATTGCTGTCTATGGAAGGGTCAGAGAGCTCGATTTCATCAAAAATATCTTAATTTGTGTTCCGAAGATGAACGGAGGTCTTAGGGGTTTGGAACGACATGAGGGTCAGTAATTAATAACAGAATTTTCATTTTTGGGTGAGCTCTACCTTTAACTCCAATTTTTGTTGCTTTTTAAAAGAAAAGCAAGGACAGTATAAATTATTTTTGTGGTAATAATCAACATTATGCCACAAATGCAGTTGATTTATATTGAGCTTTATACGAGAGCAGTGCACTTGTTACCTGTGTTTGTAAACCCACTCCTGCTTTTCGGCCAGGTGGGACAGTTTGACCCTCATGCCCTTCGCCCTGAAACATCAATTCACAGTTTCACATCCAAACACAGCTCAATGCTCCAGTATCTGTCTTTCCAAAAGCGCTGATACTCACTTCTCCAGGCATGAGGAGGGGATGGCAGACAGCCCCTTACACATCACACGATGTCTGAATGAACCTCAAAGAATCGATCAAATGTCTCCAGCTCCACTTGACTCTCTCTGTCTGTGTCCTGCTGTTATATAGTGACATTAATCTGATCCTGAGATCGTGAAACAACACAGACAGCTGTTGGGTGAGAACACCACACAATGACTGTCCACATCACAGGCAGTGCTGATTACAAGCTGTTTTGACGTTATACAGTTGGTGTGGACAGCAGCTGACAGCGGTTTTCTTCAGAAAGCGTGTATCTGTGTGTGTATCACCTGTATTTGTGTCGGGAACAGTGACTGAAGGCAACAGGTGTGCATTAGGTCATCTGTGTGCTGATCAGAATAGCTTGTTTCCATGCAGTCACTGTCATTTGTCAAGCTATAATTGTTGATCATAGTGATAGTGAATGCATTTAAAGTGAACATTATTGTGGGAGACTGTTGCATAATATTCTGTTTCAGACCCTGTTGGAAAACTGAACAAAATGGACATGCAAGATGCTGGAGAAATGGACACTGTTGGGCTTCAGAAATGACAGAAAAGTAGTCCAAACAACTGGCGCACTATATTTAAAGTCCAAGTGTCTTCATGCAGAAAGATCTCAATATGCGAATGCAGATGAGATCAGGAAAACAACTTAAATTTGGGTCTGTTCCTCTCATAAATCCATCAAATGACTCCTTTTTGGAGCTTGATAGCATTTGTCCCCATTCATCATAAGGAAACATACAGCATGGACATTCATCTAAACTTCTCCTTTTGGGTCGCATGGAGGAAAGAGAGTCAAATGCATTCAGATCGACATGAGGGCGAGTAAACATTTACAAAATTTTTGGGGTGAACCCTTTGAGGTGGTCAGACTGGTTTGTGCAACATAGTTGCTGTTTTTTGGAGGTCTACTAGGTCTAACCAAACTGACCGAGGTGGTCTACCTCTAACAGATCAAAAACTGGCAAGCAGTTTAGCTGATCTACACCAGCTGCAGCTATGACCATCAATGACCAGTTTGGACCATCTAACCAGCAAAACCACCTAAGGATCTGTCATAGATGTGTTTCTTTCAGTTTGGCTTTTCTTAAAAGCCAGCACTTCTACCATATGTGACTCTGGAGCACAAAACCAGTCTTAAGTAGCACAGGTATATTTGTAGCAATAGCCATAATACATTGTATGGGTCAAAATTATAGATTTTTCTTTTATGCCAAAAATCCTACCGTAAATATATCAAAACTTAATTTTTGATTAGTAATATGCATTGCTAAGAACTTCATTTGGACAACTTTAAAGGCGATTTTCTAAATATTTTGATTTTTTTGCACCCTCAGATTCCAGATTTTCAAATAGTTGTATCTCATCCAAATATTGTCCTATCCTAGCAAACCATACATCAATGGAAATCTTATTTATTCATCTTTCAGATGATGTATAAATCTCAATTTCAAAAAATTGACCCTTATGACTGGTTTTGTGGTCCAGGGTTACATATGTTCTTCTGCTCACACTTCTGATCCATCTATGTGTTTGATAAGATTCAGCAGATATACTGAAAAAATACTTTGAACATGCTGCTGCCATGCAAACCCACTTCCTCCTCCTAAACCTTATGAATTCTTCATGAACCCTCAGGAAGTGACTTCATAAGCCATGCAGCCTGAATCAAAATAACCAATCACACCTGTGAAGAGAAAATCATGTTCCGTTCTGCATGACAGATGTTTTACTCCGGTCTTTGAGAGGGCTGATCTTATTTGTGTGCATGTATGCCATTCATCTGCAGAGTCATTGGAGAAGTTGCTGCATTCAATTCATTGTGCACGATTTAACACGGTTTCTCTTGTTCATACTTCAGCACCGGGATATTTTGGGTCATATGTTGGCAGAAGGAAGCCCCTCCTGAGGGTGTAACCTGAAGCCGCTGTTGTATCACTGAGTTGCGGCAGCAGTCCTCTGTTTTCTCGCGCGCTCTCCGTGGTGTTTTCATCTCGCCTTAAAATGTCGCAATGCTTGCGGATAAGAATATGAATGGCTATCTTGGAAGTATTGGATTCATGATTGCTCAAGCTTCCTGGTTCGCGTGCAAAACAGCTGTTTGACGCCGTCTGCGGAGCGCGAGCTCTCAGGACGCGACGCGAAGGGGTTTGTTTCGCAAGCAGCTCCTTTTTTGGACGCGTCTTCCGCCCGAAGTCTCTCCGTGGCTGACCGTGCGTGGAGCGCATCATGTGGCGGGCGCGGTGCCAGGACAGCGTGGTCGATCCCGAACGCGAGCGGCTCTGAGCCGAGCTCTTCGCGCAGCTGGATCTGAACCAGGACGGACGGATCGATGTGAACGAGCTGCGCATCGGACTCGCCGCGCGGGGGATGTCGTGGAGCTCGGTGGAGGAGGTACGGAGGAAACCTAATGCATGCAATCATAACGGAAGGGTGCTTCTAGTACAGGATAACTGTCCGTGAATTCACAGGTTTATGATTGAACGTGGAGATAATAACCTGCGCCTCCAGGTCACGTGATCATCTGCGTATGAACACTGAAAGCGAAAATGCCACAGTACGCGATACGATCGCAGGCAGCCAATCAGATTCTATCTGATGCTTAATATTCAAGAATGTAGAGTGCGATTCGAGCCAATGAGATTTCGCAGTGGGCGTGGCTACTCCGCGCAAGTCGAAAGATAAAAATTGCGTCGCAAACCTACAGTCTATGGTCGCACACCAGGTACTGTACATTGTGTACTTACGCTGTCCACCCATAGGCGGAGCGTGTGTAAGGCTACACTGGCCACGGGACTTGGGGCAAAAATGCCACTAAATTGGACAAAAATGCCCCTGCACAAACAAATTAAATAAATTAAATCTGTTGCTAACAAAGTGAATATGAATAGACAGTGTCGATTGCGGCATTAAATTAAGATCTGCTCATGTTGCACCGTATTTCATTTTAGGCGTTTTTACAGTGTTGCGCATTTTAACCAATCACACACAATTCTGTTGAGCTTAGGAATGCAATGGCCAATCAGAGGCGTTCAGATGAGTCATCGTTCAAACTCTGTTTTGTTGAGTGCGCGCGCGTTCGCTGACTGAATTCCGGACTCTTGCGAATTCTCTCATCATAAACAACAAAGCGCAGATGTAAGTAAGAGATTAATTTAACAGTGTATACAGCTTCAGTGATTATAACGATAGTTTTTTTTTTTAAATTTTTTAGAGTGCTTAAACTCGCGCGATAGATGGAAAGGAAACGTTATATAATTATCAATTTCTAATGTTTAGAAATATTAAATTGTAATCACGTTAAATACAAATTCAGTCCCATTAAACATTTTTTTAGCCTACATGACACCCATGTCTGGTTCTTGCCTAAAAAGAGGGGTTTATGATGTTTATGATGACCCTGGAGTTGGTTCACCCTCCGCTGATGTGTCCACCCCATAGGTGCGTCTCAAATCGTGTACTTGTGCACTATTCTATGACATTTTGTAGTACAAGTAGTGTGAGTAGTGTGTGTAAAATTCCAAAAAGAAAAAGTGCATTTTAAATAACCGGATGATGCACTTAAATAACTGAAAAAAAACAAGTGTGAAATGTTGGACATGGGTGTGGCTAGAAGGGATACAGCTCCGACCGGAAACTAACAATGAAATTTAATTTTATACCTATTAGATTGTGTTTTATTAACATCTACACTTACCACAACCCTAAACCTACCCCTTACAATAATGCAAAAACAGTAAGTATTGTTGTACAGTGTGACAAAAATTAGCTGTAGCTGTTGCAGTTTTAATTACGTCGCGAAGGGGGAGGGGCGATCAGATTCCGATTATTAATGACAAAAAACCTTATAAAATCCATACACTACATGGTTGAGTACATAGTGCATAAGTACATAGTGCATAGTTTATAGTGCGTCATTTGGGACGCAGTTCATTTTTCAACACTGAATGAAACTATTTCCTGTGAATGTGCGAGACTTCCGGTTGATTAGCCTCTATCGTTAAATAACTAGAAGAATTCCACAGTGCAAGAAAGAGGTATTTGCGCTACAAACCAGTGTGTTTATGATTAAGATAACAAATTAGACTGATGTGAGAGCAAATATCTTTTTGTAACATCAAGCGTAGTGTTTTTGTGCAGCTAAAATTACTGGAAGCGGCTTACACCGGAAGACTCGCACATTCAAGCTTGTATGTTACAAATAAGGTGGATTGGTTACACTAAGTACATACATTAGTGTTATCTTAAATGAAACAATTTCTGTAGATTTTCCATTTGAAGGAAATGACGTTTCCAATGACGTGTAGCTGCTTGTAGTGCACTGCTCACACTATTACACTTCAAAAATGGCGTAGAATAGTGTAGAAGTACACAAAATGGGATAAACCTGTAGAAACCACAATATTTAATATATGATCACGTAAACAGGATTTCAGGCCGCTGAGATGTCACTGTGGATAGACTGCGCACACAGTGCTCCAGAAATAGAAAGCAGACAAGCGACCAAAAAACCAAAAACAAATCACTTGTTGCTGGTTAGGATGGCGCCTGATGTTCAGCTCAGATTAGACAGATGTGCTGGAGCCATTAGTGAGAGTATAACCCATTATGTAGCTGCTTACTCACTAACATACTCAAACTCATAATGCTTCATATGATGAAAGTACGACTGCACAGCAGGATTCTTGTTTCGAAGGCCTCCATGTCGAGGTCAGGTAGTCAGGTCGAGGCAGATTAGAGCACCGTGTTGCAGCACTAATGAACCAGTTTATGAATAGTTAATGATCTCAAGGTCAATGGCAGGAACAGAGGAAGGGCATCAGCACCCGCTGGCATTAAATCAACATCACAGGGTCTCCAGCTGCCATCTGAAATAAGGGTTTCCTGCAGACTAGTGTGTTTGCTAAGTCAAGCATCACTGTTTTTGCTCATACTTGGTTTAGTGATTTGATCAAACTCCTAAGTTCTACATTTCTAATCAATGAATTGCTTTCTAAAAAGGTTATAGTGATGTAATGCCAGCAGGTCAAACCCAAGGCCTAGGAAACAATGAGAACCCCGGCCAAGTTATGATCAAACTGACACACATATGTTAAATTAATCTTTGTTATCTAATCTCTCCACAGCATCCTGCACGCTGTTTTTTAGTGTTGGGGAAGTTACTTTTAAAAGTAATGCAATACAGTATTGTATAAAAAAAAGAAACGAATTGCGATACTTAGTTACTTTTCATGAAAAGTAATGCATTACGTTGCTTTTGCATTACTTTTAGTCACCTGGGTTGGGCTTGCTTATTTATTTTTAATTACAAAAAGCCTAAAAGTTAGATTTTTGGTAACTGTGAAGGAAGGCCCTTTCACACCAAAAGTGAAATAATAAGCCGCAGGCTGAAGAAAGTGCCTCTGCACCTCACTCTAAATTTCTCTCAACACAGGGACAGAAGACGTGTCTGAATAAATGGGGCAAAAATAACTTGCATTACTTATTTGAAAAGTAACTCCGATATTTTCTTGTAAATTTAAAAGTTGTGTTACTTTACTTGAAAAAAGTAATCTGATTACATTACTTGTAATGCATTACCCCCAACACTGCTGTTTGCAACATACTGTATACAATAGTTTATAGTTCAGCGTAAGTGATTAGACTATTGATCTGTTTGCCTGGGACAGTCTTGTGTCATATTGATTTTTGAAACTTGATGATTTTGTAGAGTGCTTTGCTTTTTGAGGTTTGAAAGCATGTGTGCATGTGTTTGTATTATGCATTATGCATTGTGATGAATGATTTTGGCAAGAAAGTACTAAACTTCACACAAAGGCTCACAGAAACACACATGTAGGCTGCTGCAGACTGTGCAAAAGATCAGCGTCTTGGAGTGGATCCATGTGAGAGTAAATGATTATGTGGATTTAAACACTAATATAGCGATTAAGTGTCTATAAATGAATGAAACACATTGTAAAGCTACTGTTTTGTGCGCTTGGCTTCCTCTGTTTGTACATTTACATTCATTTTGTTAATGCATTTAATTCGAATGAAATGAACCTGTGTTTAGATTCGATGATTAATGTCTGAGTGCTCATGTTTGATGTTGGTGCCGTGGACCAGTGGCTTTGCATGGTTTTAATCTGCTTTTCTCTTTCATTTGCACCCCATCCCACCTTTCCTAATAATCCCGGCATCCCCCTGTCCCTCCATTTCTCTCTCTCCCCCTCTATCTCTCTGCATATGCCCTATATTCAGCAGATTGTACGAGCTGGAGATGCTAATCACGACGGCCAGCTGGATTTTGAAGAGTTCGTCGAGTATCTGCGTTCACATGAGAAACGCCTCAGACTCATGTTTCGCAGCTTGGACCGAAACAATGACGGTTAGTTTCTGTCAACTTCACAGCATTATCAGAATCAGTGTTATTTTAGTATTATTCATTCACTGTATATTCTGTTACAGTATGTATGAATATTTAAAGATTTTATTTCAGTCGACTACAATGATATTTACTGTAATAGTTTCAGTTTTAGTTAATAGAAACACTAGTCAGAATCTGTCTTAATTCTCTGTTAGAGTATAATTTTTATGTTCACATTTTACTTTTACATTGTCACAGATATGATAATTAATAAAATTTGCCATATATATATCCTCACAATAAACCCTACAATCTATCCCATTATATAACATAACATCTATAACCTTATATTAGCATTAGCATATGTGATTTTATATCACTGTTAACATCTGTACCATTAGTAGCTATGCTACATTAGCATACATAAATTAATATTAGCATTAACATTTGTGATTTTACATCACTGTAATCATCCATACCCTCACAGCATCATTAGCAGCTTTGCTATTGCGTCTATACCCTCAATTTAGCATTAGCATTTAGCATCCATACAGTTGTTGACTCATTCATAAGCATTGTAGCATCACATTAATGTTGTTAACAGCCATGACATTAATGTTAGCACTGCTACATCACTGTTAACCTATATACCCTCATAGTATCATTAGCAGCTATGCTATTGCAACGCTGTTAGCGGCTATATCTTCATTTTAGCACTGGTGCCTAAATTCTCTTAACATTTATAACATCATATTAGCATCAGAAGCTATGATATTGCCGTTAGCACTTTTACATAACTGTTAGCATCTATACCTCATATTAGCATTTGTGATTTTACATCACTGTAATCATCTATACTCTCACAGCATCATTAGCAGCTTTGCTATTGTGTCTATACCATCAATTTAGCATTAACATTTAGCATCTATACAGTTATTAACTCATTCATAAGTGTCTCTAGCATCACATTAATGCTGTTAACAGCTATGACATTAATGTTAGCACTGCTACATCACTGTTGGCATATATACCTCATATTAGCATTTGTGATTTTACATCACTGTTAGCATATATGCCCTCACGGTATCATTAGCAGCTATGCTATTGCAACGCTGTTAGCGGCTATATCTTCATTTTAGCACTGGTGCCTAAATACTCTAACATCTATAACATCATATTAGCATCAGAAGCTATGATATTGCTGTTAGCACTTTTACATCACTGTTAGCATCTATACCTCATATTAGCATTAGCATCAGTTCCATTAATTCAGTCACTGCTCTATTAAGCTCTATTATCTCACATTTCAGTAAAATGACACATTGTTTGTATGTTTTGTAGGTGAACTGGACGTCGCGGAGATCCAGCAATCGTTACACAATCTCGGTGTGGACGTCACGCTGGAGCAGGCCGCCAAAATCCTGCAAAGGTGTGTGGTTTTGTACTTAGCATATATGTAAAGTGCTTTTCAGGTGTGATTTTCTGACATGCGGTGCTTGTGAAATGTGTTGGTACAGTATGGATAAAGACCATTCCATGACCATCGACTGGTTCGAGTGGCGAGATCACTTCCTGTTTAACCCTCTGCACAACATGGAAGAAATCGCTCAGTACTGGAAACACTCGGTGGTACGACTGAAAACTGAAACAGTGAGGTTTTCATGACTATAAATGGAGCCTCTTTCTTTCTGTAACTCCACTGTTGTGTATTTGTTGGTGTGTTTGTGTAGATGTTGGACATCGGAGAGCATCTGACAGTCCCAGACGAGTTCTCGGAGAAGGAGAAGCAGTCAGGGTTCGTGTGGCGGCAACTGATGGCAGGAGCCGTGGCGGGATCGGTGTCCAGGACAGGAACCGCGCCGCTCGACAGACTCAAGGTCTTTCTGCAGGTGAGACTGCGCTGGTCTGGGATCAGTCGCTTTCGGTCTTCAATGAAACCATCTGGTCTTTGATGCACGTTTAGAGGTTCCTTTTGAGGTTTGCTCTCAAGATGCTTTCAAAGTAGCTCACGCAATACAATCTAGCAAAGCTGTGGCTTGTGTGAACAAGGATAAAAGGTATTTCTATATAACTACAAGTATCCATGATAATATATTTTATAAAATAATAATAATAAAAAAATTGAATTCGTTTTTATTTGAATTTTAGTTTTATTTAAAGTTTTGTGCTTTTGTCATTTTATTCGTTTAATTTTTTTTATTTTATTTTAAATATGTCTATACAGTTCTTATAATTTTTATTTCAGTTTTAGTTATTTTAGTATGTAATAAGTTAAAGTAAAAGAAAATGAAAAATGTTCCTTTTGCAACTAGCTGGAATGAAATAAGTTTGTTTTATTTCAGGTAACAATTTCTTTTTTAGATTTTTTTAGATTGAGTTAACTACTAAAGTTTTAGTTAACTAAACCCTGAACCAAATCAACCAGCTACATGGTGAATTATTACAAACTTTGATTTGACGCAAAGTATTTGAAAATCGGACAAAAAGACAAAGGTACAATATTATGTATTTAGCAGCATTAATGAAGGAAAAAACTACAATTCTGTCAAGCATCGTGAATGAAAGGAGGAATATGAAACTATGGATTTAAAGATGTTGATTATGTGTATAGAAACGTATTTTATGTTTATAGCAAAATATGCATATTATGCGAGTAAGCATTTTAGTTAGAGTGCAGTGTTCTTTTGCTATGATTCTGTGATTGGTGGAGAGTCTGTGCAGAATTATGGGTAATGTAGTTTTTCACCACTGTTGGACATGATTATTTAAAAAATAAGATGAACTAATGTGGGCTGATTGCTTCAATAAAAGCATAACCATCGATTAACAACCTTGGAGGTCACAGTAGGTCTGTCTTTAAAGGTTTATGAGTTACTATTAAAAATCAATTCCTCTGTGGATAAAATGAAAGATATTTTTACTTTCTGAACCCAACTGTTGCACTCTATATTTTCAGCACCACGCTGACCCCTGGAGGTCATTTGAGACACTGCAACTGAACTTTCTTTTTTAGTTGTTATATTTAGGTGTGTTTTGGTTTAATTGTAATCTAGTTAGACTAAAGCTTTACATTAAAATCATGTGAATTATGTGCTGATGTGCAGGTGCATGGCCAGAAGTCTGATAAGGGGAACGTGTGGCGCGGTCTGCGTGCGATGGTGAAGGAGGGCGGCCTCACTGCGCTGTGGAGGGGGAACGGCATCAACGTGTTGAAGATCGCACCGGAGACAGCCATCAAATTCCTGGCCTATGAACAGGTACAGCTCTGTCTTACACTCAGCCGTGTGGACAGAGACTCAAAACTCAGCATGCATCTGTGTGTCTGCAGATTAAACGCTTGATGAGAGGCAGTAAAGAGGGAGGAACTCTGAAAGTTCAGGAGAGATTCGTCGCCGGATCACTGGCTGGAGCTATGGCTCAAACGGTCATATACCCTATAGAGGTAAATACACACACACACACACACACACACACATACACACACACACACA